TGGATCCAAGTTCCAGCGGTGCTCTAACTAGTTGTGCAAACTTGGACAAGCCAAATGCTTGCAGGCCTGTTTCTTTTCATCTACAAAACAATTTGGACCTCTAAGGTCTCTTTCAGTTGTGACATTTTCTGGTCTGCATACCATATGGAGGGAGAATCCTAGGAAGAAGGATAATAGGGAAGGCAAGAGCAAATAGATGGAATGCAGGGGAGGGGCAGGGCTGTGCAGGGAGAGGGTTATGGCTTGTATTTAAACAGGGGCAAATGGAGGGACCCTGGAGGCCCAAACGGACTCTTAAATTTCACTAAGGAAAATCCAAGGAAAGACTGGTGTGTGGAACTAAGAGTGTGCTAGGAATACAATATGCAGAAGAGCAGGAAGGGAGATTTTTGACAGGAAGGCAGCACACAGGGACCGGTGATCTGAGAGCATTTATTTGTCCATTCAACAAACAGCTATTGAAAAGGGGATATTTTAGGGGCCATTCAAAGAAGCAGGCCAGCATTTAGCATGAGGGAAGTCTGTGATGGGTATTGAGCTGGGGGTACCAATGGGGATATGAGGGGCCCCATTTTGAGAGACTGTGACACCAAGCTAGGATCCTGTAAACTTAACGAACACATGTTGAGTAACTACCATGTTACAGGCACTGGAGATAAAGACTAATTTCTCTGCCCTTCTGCACCTTGGTTCTAGTAAGGAAAGATAAACAATAAAATGGTAAATAAAATGAATAAATAAAATACATGGCATGTTTGTTAGTGATAAATGCTAATAAGAAAAACAAAGCAGGGAAGGACAGTAGGATTGGGTGTAAAGGGAATGGGGCTGTAATTCTAAAGAGTGTGACCACTGAGAAGATAACATTGGACCCAGGAGGGGAGGGAGTGAGTGGGATGGACAGAGAGGTACTGGATAGTCTTTCAGAAAAAGAACAGCAAGTCGGGAGAGTAGCCAGGGTTCAACAAGGCCAGTGAGGTGAAGGGAAGAGGAACGAGGGGAGAGTAGTTCAAAATGTGGTCTGGGCTCCATGAGGAGGCAGGAAGGATCCCGGCTCATTCTGGAGCTCCCTTGCTCACCTCCTTCCCGTCCCTCAGCATTTAGGGAACACCTCTGTGGCTCAAGCTGCAGATACTGTCATGGATAAGACACTGTGTTCCAGTTACCAGAACCAGAACAGAAGGTCAGGGCCCAACTGGCAGCGAGGGGAGATGAAGCTGCCATCAACAGCACTAGATCAGGCCGTAAATCCCTGTCTTCAGACACCATCATTCTTGAAGCCAGTGTGGCTCAAGACCTACTGGTGGGTCTCCCCACAGAGGGCAAAAGAAGCTACAGAGAAGAAAGTAGGGTATATTGAACTAAAATATATATATAATTTTTCTAGAAAACACCTGCAGGAGATTCAAAATTTAACAGAATAAAAAGCACCTCAGATTTCTAAGCTGCTGAGAATTTTAGACATCACTAGTGCAACCTCTTCATTTTTTGGACAAAACTCAAGAGATGTTCTTTCTTTTTTTTTTTTAATTTTATAGAAGTATAGGTGATTTACAATGTTGTGTTTAATTTCTGCTGTACAGCAAAGTGACTCATTTATACATATATTCTTTTTCATATTCTTTTCCATTATGATTTATCACAGGATATTGAATATAGTTGCCTGTGCTATACAGTAGGACCTTGTCATTTATCCATTCTAAGAGAAGTGATTTCTCAAAGCAACAGAGGAAAGGAGAAACAGTTCTCTAGCCTACATGGCCAGTACAGTGTCTAATTTATCACCACTTTTTAAACTTCACCAAAAGTTTCAGAATAAGGTTGTAGAGAGCACAAGCAATATTCTAAATTATGTTGTAAGTTCACTGTGACCTAAATGAGAAATAGAAATTGTGCTGACTCAGAGGACAAAAATTTCAGAGCCAGAGTTCAATTCCTATATGATCAGTTATATCAGGAGGAGATTCCTGGAGGGACAAGCATTGACAGGTACTATTGGAAATGTAGGGAAAATGGGAGAAAGGTACCATGCATAAGTCCCTAACAGACCAAAGCCAGCTCTGGCTGGTGACAGCAAGAATAGACCTGAAACCCAACAACATCAGGATGGAGATGTTGTACTCTTATTTTTAAATAGCACTAACTTTATGTAATATGTAACATTTAAAGCAGATTGTTGTAATTCAGTGTAACATTAACATAAGTTCAGTCAAGATAAGCTTTTTTCTAAAGGAAAAAATGAAACATGGTAAGGAATAAAAAGTACAAGGAAGCTCAAAAACAATATTAAACCGAACTTATGAAATAAGTCTCTAGAGAAAAATATTACTAAGAGCATATGATAATTAATTTTTTTGTGTGTGTGTGGTACGCGAGCCTCTCACTGTTGTGGCCTCTCCCGTTGCAGAGCACAGGCTCCGGACGCGCAGGCTCAGCGGCCATGGCTCACAGGCCTAGCCGCTCCGCGGCATGTGGGGTCTTCCCGGACCGGGGCACAAACCTGTGTCACCTGCATCGGCAGGCGGACTCTCAACCACTGCGCCACCAGGGAAGCCCTAAATTTTTTTTAATGATGAATTAAATATATGGGAAAAAATCCATATTCTCAAAATAAGAAAACCAGAATTCATTGACATTTTAAAGTCTTTATTTTGAAGAAGATCTTAAATTTTGCTTGAAGCAAAGTAAAATACAACCTCTTGAAAAACAATTAAGAATTCAAGTTTATAACACTAGTTTCCCCCAAGGAGAGTTCCTATTGATTTGTAACTTAGCCTTGAATTTGACCTGTGGCCCCTTCATGTCAGGATAATTTGGGTCACTCTGAATATGCCATCTCTTGAACAAGGGCCTCTACTAATTTTAAATGAATGCAGCTGCCGATTTGCCATTCATTTATTTGCATCACAATATGTGGGAATAAATTTGCAATTAATAAAACATTTCCAGTAACAGTCAGACTGAGGAAATGAACATTTATCTAGTAAGTTTAAAAAGATGTTTCAAAAAAAAAAAAAGATGTTACATTTTTGCCTTTCTGGACATGAAAAAAAGGAAAGAAAGTATATATCTTTGAGGTATTGATTGAGGCCAGAATTGTTCCCTGGGCTACAGCATCTAAAAAAGCCATGCAACCTCAAATTAGATTTTAGTTTAAAAAAAAAAGAATACATTTTTTAAAAAAGAATAGATGTTGAAAATTTTGTACCAGTTCTACAAAAGTTTTTTTCTCCCTTTTTTCCCTCCTTCTTTCCTTGTTTCCTTCCTTCCTCTCTTTCATTTTTCTTTCTCTTTTTCTTTCTTTTTTCCTTCCTTTCTGCATTTCTTTTTCTCTTTGGTTCAATGAAAATGAATAGTTCTCAAGTTTGATTTATGGAGAGGGCTTGCATTTGATATTAAGAATCAAAACCTTTGGTAAACACATTGGGGCCTTCATTCCATCTTGCATCTGACACTGCAAAATTAATAATATATTGTCTAGATTTAGGGAAACAGTTCTACTGAGGAGTAGACCAGGGGAGTAAGGAGTTTGGAAGCTCTCGAAAAAGCCAGACAAATGAAGGAACTTGAAAAGAGAAGGAACTGGGGGAGCTCCAGAAAGAGTTAGGGAAGCCTCAGCGGATGGGTTTTGAGGCTTGCTGCTTTCACCGTGTGAAATGTTCCTTCCTCTATTTTCCACCTGTTGAAATTCTAATTCTCCAGGACCAGACTGGATAATCACCTACGGTGAGAAGTTTCTAGATCCTCTTGGTTAGAAACTATCTTCCTACTCTGAAGCCTCCTAGTACTTGCTGCTACCTTTACAGCATATTACTATGTACCAGGTAACATGCATGGTTACCCCACTTTATAAACGTGGAAGCAGGTTACTATGGGACACTTGCTCATGAAGCAGCCGCCATGTGTTTAACACCCTTTTTACCCTCTATAATCTGAGGGTAATTGCTACACTGAAATAGTGCTTCGAAGGTTCAGCAATGACCTGCTACTTTCTGTGTCTAGGGACTTGTTCCCTCTGTCCTCATTCGTGAATTTTGGGTCCACGATCTTCCCGAAACATTTTCTTCTTACAACTCACTGATTGAGGTTTTTTTTCTTACATATATACATATATATGCCTTCCAAATTTTAAACAGTAAGAAAAAAACCTCAATCAGTTCATATATATATATAATTTTTTTGTTTTTTTCTAAAGAAGCTTAAAACAAAGCTTAATTGGTTAAGGGTGGCTATGGATGGAGACTTGAAGAGATTCTGAAAGGTATGTTTGAGCGCTTTAGACTTGAAAGGGCGGGTGACAGTCCTTCTAAAGAGAATGGTCAAAGTCTGTAGATTTTTCTTTTAACAGCGCCTTTCTCGTGCATGCACTCCAGGGCTGGGGGATAACTTTTCTGTTGTTAGTTGATGAAGGAAATCAAGAATGGGAGCAGAGCGCTCTTCTCTTTAGACCTAAGGGTCAGAGTTGGGGGTCTGGGGAGATTACGGACCTCCACCTCTTGGCGCGCCCCCAGCACAGCCGGGGCCCAGAGCAACCTCTTTCGTCCAGGGGCGGGGCGCGCCAGGCGGCCACGCGCGGGGGTGGTGGAGGGGGCGTGTCCCGCGGGCGCGCGCGGGAGGCGGAGGGGGCGTGTCCCGGGAGTGGCGGCGGCGGCGGCGGCGGCGCGGGCCGGGTGCGCGTTGCAGCCTTCTGTGCTGGAATGTGCGGCTCCCGAGAGCTCACGGCGCAGGAGCAGAGCAAGCGCCGCCGAGGCCCGGGGCCCCAGGCGGCGGCGGCGGCGGCCGGGACGGCAGGGCGAGAGCCGGAGGCCTGAACACTCTCTGCAGCCCCTCTCCTGGGTCTTCGCGGGCCTCGACTGCCCCAGCGTCCAACTTTTCCGCCCTCTCCCTCCCCTCCCCCGAAACTCCAGCAACAAAGAAAAGTAGTCCGAGAAGGAGCGGCGACGCGGGTCTTCGCCCCTCCTCGCCCAGGAAGGCCGGTAAGCGTGGCGCGGTCTGGGAGACGGTTGGGTGGGGGCGGCGGGCCGGCCGGGCGGTCGTGGCGGCGGTTGCCGCGGGAGGGGGAGGGCGCGGAAGGACGCGGAGCGAGGCGCTGTCCAGGGCTGATTTGCAGATACTGTGGCTCCGGCGGTGGCGGCCGCGTCGGGCGGGGACTGGCGGCTGAACGGGATCGGGTTACACCGTCGCGGTCCGGGGGCTGGGCCGGGGGCGTTGGTGGGGAGCGGCGCGGCGCCGGGACCCCCTCCCCAGTTGAGGCCGGGCCGCCGCCTCCGCGCGGGCCCGGGCGTCCCTGGGAGTCTTGTCCTGAGGCCAGGAGCGGAGCTGCTTGGGGCCCTAGTTCTGAAACTTCCTCTCGTGCTCCTGCTCCAGGTCCCGCCGCAGCTCCTTGCTTGCCGGCGGTCCTCCCGCCCCCTCCCTCTGCGGCCTCTCCCTTTCGCCGGAAGGCGCCGTTGAGTGCGGCCGGGAGGGTTGAGTCAGCCTGGGGCTCGGGTGGTTCTGCCAATGGGGCTGGACAGCGATTTCTGCGATCGGGCCGCCCCGCCGCCGGGGCCCTCTGCGTGGGGCCACCTAGCCGCCGCCGTCGGCGGGGCCGGGGCGCGCGTCCCGCGGGGCGCCGTGGGGGAGTGAACCCGCAAACTTCCGGGGCGCGGGGGGCCCCCTCCGGCGCTCGGGGCCCGGCGCCTCGGGAGGGCGCTCGCGGCGGCTCCTCGGCCCCCTGCGGAGGGCGAGGCTGGGGCCGGCGAGCAGCCGGGACGGCGGCGACGCGGTAACTTTCCTCCCTCTTCCCGGACTCGGGCGCGCGGGCCAGGAGGGGGCAGCCTGAACTGGGGAAGACTTGACCTGGCCCAGCGGCACCCCGAGTTTGCCCGTCTTGCAGTCTTTAGTGTTGGGGAGCCCAGGGAAAGGTTCAGGACGAGTGTGGCGGCAACTGGTGTGTCAGTGGTGCAGTGAGCGGGCCGAGCCGAGAGGAAGCGAGAGCTCCCGAGTTTGCAAAGAGCTGCTTTGTGTTTGGTACGTATTTTGAGAAAATGGCCGAATGCCTATTTGAGTTAGGAATGCCGCCGCCGAGGCAGGCTCTGGTGGCAGCAGCACGTAGGAATTCGCGTAGCACGTTGGGCTTTCGGACTGTGCTTGGACAGTCTTCCCGACCAACGTTAAAATCCCTTTGGGGATGGTAGTTAGGGTTTGGGAAGAATTAGAAATTACCGAGTAGTCTGGGCTGTTAAACCCTTGGACAGCGTTTGCTTTGTGTGATGGCATTTGATTCCAACTTTTGTTGGTACCTGTGACTCAACCGGTTTGTGTTTATGCACTTGGGTGAGACAGGATTACTTTTTGTATTTTGGGTTTAACATTTTTTTTTAGCCTTTGCCACCTATTTTGCAGGAGAACACCTAATTTGTGAATAACACCTTTTAGATTGGAAAGTAAAGTGTGAAGACGGTTTATAAAAAGCCCAATATGTTTTCAAGGTGATCTTGTAATGGCTCCAGTAGGCAAGTGAGCCAAGTCAAGCGCAATGCAAGAAAGTTGCTGATTGCGGAGATGACTTGATCGGCTGTTTTATATGGGGATTTGAAAGTTTCTTTACTTTGATTTGTGATCTCTTAAATACACCAAACTTCTCTTTTCACAGGAGGAAAGGTCCGTAATTTTTTTTTACTTTTTAACAGGTCGTCATCACAAAAAAAAAAAGAGAAAGGGAAAGAAACTAAGTGGTACTTTTATAATATAGTTGATCCTTGAACAATACATGATTGAACTCTGAGGGTCCACTTATACGTGGCTTTTTTTCAAGAAATATATTGTAATTTTTTGGAGATTTGCAATATTTTGAAAAAATTAACAGATGAACCATGCACCCTATTAATATAAAAAATTAGGAAATAGATGTTATTAATATGTAAAATATATGTAGATACTAGTCTCTTATCATTTACTGCCATAAAATAACAAAAATCTAATAAAAGGTAAAATTTATCAAGACTTAACGCACACAAACTCATAACCAACCACACGAGTGCCATTCACAGAAATGCAAACATAAAGATTCATTATTAAATCATAATTGCTTAAAATTAACTGTAGTACATACTGTACTAATGTAATAATTTTGTGGCCACCTCTTGTTAATTTTGGTGAGCTCAAGTGTTGCAAGTATCTGCTTAAAATGCCAGGTGAGGTAATCATCTCCACGTGAGCAGTCTCTCCAGTAAATTGTGTGGCAATAAAAAGTCACCACTCACGGTTCTCGCATATTTTTCATCCTGTTCAGTGCAATACCAGAAACCTTGAATAACATCATGGACCCCATAGTGCCACTTGTGATGCTGGAAGTGCTCCCCAGAAGCAGAGTAGAGTCAAGACTTTACAAGAAAAAGTTGAATTGTTTGATGTGTACTGGGGTAGATTGATATCCGCACTTGAGGTTGCCCACCATTTCAAGATAAATGAATTGACCCTAAGGACCAATGGTTAAAAAAGAAAAAAAAGGAAATTTGTGAGGTCATCACTGCATCTACGCCAGCAGGCCTGAAAACCTTGCATGTTTTGGGAAATACCTTTTTATCTCGAATTAAAAATTCAGTTTTTACGTTGGTGCAGGATTGCTATAAGTAAGGCATACCTATGGACTCTAAATATGATTTGAGAAAAAGCAAAGTCATTATATGATGACTTAAAGCAAAAGGAAGGTGAAAGATCTAAAGCTGGAGAATTTTATGCCAGCAAAGGTTGTTTTGATAATTTTAGGAAGAGATTTAGCTTAAAACATGTCAAGATAACAGAAGTAGTGTCTGCCAATCAAGACGCAGCAGACAAGTTCCCAATCCACTGGTGGCACAGTGGATAAGATCAGTGCATGGGGCCCAAGTTCGATCCCTGGTCAGGGAACTAGATCCCACATGAATGCTGCAACTAAGAGTTTGTATGCCACAACTAAGGAGCTGGAGAGCTGAAACTAAGACCTGGTGCAACCAAATAAATAAATAAATAAATATTAAAAGAAAGTCGTTGATCACAACATTGTAAATCAACTATACTTCAGTTAAAAAAAAAAAAACCTGTTCAGGCTGCTATTCTTTTTCCTCAATGACTTTTTTTTAAATTGAAGTATAGTTGATGTACAATGTTGTATTAATTTCTGCTGTACAGCAAAGTGATTGTTATACATATATGTAAATTCTTTTTTTAATATTCTTTTTTATGGTTTATCGTAGGATATTGAATGTAGTTCTTTGTGCTATACAGTAGGACTTTGTTTATCCATTCTATATATAATAGCTTACATCTGCTAACCCCAACTTCCTACTCTGTCCCTCTCCCAACCCCCCCCCTCCCCCTTGGCAACCACAAGTCTCAAGGTTTTTAATGCAGACAAAAGTGCCCTATTATGGAAAAAAATGAGAGGACATTTATTAGGAAGAGGAATGAGCACCAGGATTTAAGACAGGAGGGGTTAGGCTAACTCTTCTGTTTTGTGCAAATGCAGTGGGGTTTAGGATCAGGACTGCCCTTATAAAGCTGCTAACCCCCGAGCCTTGAGGGGAAAGCATAAACACCAGCCACCAGTCTTTTTTTTTAAAATTTATTTATTTTATATATATTTTGACTGCGTTGGGTCGTCGTTGCTGCGTGTGGGCTATCTCTAGTTACAGTGAGTGGGGGCTACTCTTCGTTGCGGTGTGCGGGCTCTAGGTCGCAGGCTCAGTAGTTGTGGCGCACGGGCTTAGTTGCTCTGCGGCATGTGGGATCTTCCCAGACCAGGGATCGAACCCGTGTCCCCTGTATTGGCAGGTGGATTCTTAACCACTGTGCCACCAGGGAAGTCCCCAGCTGCCAGTCTTTTGGTTGTACAACAAGAAGGCCTGGACAATGAGAACCCTTTTTCTGCATTGATTCCATTGATACTTTGTCTCTGAAGTCAGGAAATACATTGCCAGTAAGGGACTGCCTTTTAAAGTAGTTTTGATTTGAACAATACCCCTGGCCACCCAGAACCCCATGAGTTCAACATTAATGATGTTGAAGTGGTCTGCTTTCCCCCAGACAGAACTGTCTCTAATTCAGCCTCTAGATTAGGGAGTCTTTAAAGCTCATTACACATGGTAGTCTATGGAAAGATTGTCAGTGCTGTGGAAGGGGAACCCTGATAGAACATCATGAAAGTCTGGAAGGATTACATGATTGAAGTTGGCTGTTGTTATAGGAAAAGCTGTGAAGACTGTCAAGCCCCAAACAGTAAATTCCTGCTGGAGAAAACTGTGTCCAGATGTTGTGCATGACTTACAGGATTTACAACAGAGCCAATCAAGGAAATCATGAGATTCTGGATATGGCAAAATGAAAAAGAAAAAAGGTGGAGGGTGAAGGGTGTCAAGATAGGGATCTTGGAGAAATTCAAGAGCTAATAAACACATCAGAGGCATTAAGATGACTTGATGGAGATGAGTGCTTTGGAACCAGCGCCAGGTGATGAGGAATAAGATGCAGAAGAAGCAGTGTCAGAAACAAATTGACAATCTGACCGAAGGGTTCTGATTATTCAAGACTGTTTTTGACTCCTTTCACAGCATGGACCTTCTGTGATACAGGCACTAAAACTAAAGCAAAGCGTGGAAGGATTGGTACCACATGGAAACATTTTAGGAGAAATAAAAAAAGCAAAAAAGTCAGACAGAAAAATTAGGATGTATTTCCATCAAGTTACATGAGTGTGCCTGGCTCTCCTGCCTTACCCTTCATCTCCTTCACTTCTTCCACCCCTTAGACAGCAAGGCCAACCCCTCCTCTTCCTCCCCTCAACCTACTCAGTGTGAATGACAACTATTGGGATGAAGACCTTTGCGATGATCCACTTCCACTTAATGAATAGTAAATAATCATCATACTGTACAGTTAATGAACTAATCTGTTGTGTGTGAGTGTCTTGTGAAAATCTAGTAACTTTATGGCAAGAACCCTGAGACGTTATTGTGTCATCATCTTTATCGCCTACAGGTTCATTGTGTAGAACATGGTGTGCAAAACCTGTATTGACGTGGATAGCCTATCCTTACATTGGTATGAGGTGACTGATATTTAATATAAAATTAATTATGTGTTAGTTTTCCTACCGTTTTGTAACTTTGCTTTCAAAAGTTATAGTACCATACAGTATGCCTTTCTCTCTCCTACTTGGTCAAATTATGTATCAGCCTGTCATCTCAGGTAAGTGGCTTTTTAAAAAAAATGTGACATTTCCAATGCTGTATGATGAACATAACTGTAATACTATATGCCATAAATTTTAATAAAGATTCATTTGCATGTACACTAGACTACCGGGATGCAATCGTGTTGATGGTATTAGGTTACCATAAAGCAATCATATTGCTGCTTCTTTGTTGTCAATGCATAAATGTTATACCTGTAAATAAGTATGAATTTCTTTTTCATATTTTTGATGTCTAGTGTTAGTAATATGTTTAACATCAACAGTATTTTGTATCGTATAAGACAAGATGGATGTCTTATACACATGTTGTACACAAACTTATGGTATCAATAAATACAGTACTTTAAATATATTTTCACTTATGATTTTCTTTTTTTTAGTGCTGAAAAATTTTAATATTTCTGTCATTTCACAAAACATCTTTTTTTTTTTTTTCCAATTTATATTTTGGCCACGCTGCACAGCATGTGGGATCTCAGTTCCTCGAGCAGGGATTGAACCCACGCGCCTCCGCACCCCGCCATTGGAAGCGCGTAGTCCTAACCGCTGGACTGCCAGAGAAGTCCCCATTTCACAGAACATCTTTTGTTGACATTCTACAAATGATACCATCCAATAATGTCCCAATACTTTCTTCCTGTGAAGATAGTTCATATATCTTTTTGACTTCTGTAATATGTGTTATTTCTGGGAGATTTTTCAGAGAAACTTTTGACCTTCTATCAGAGATATTAGGTCTTCTTGATTTATTTGTTTTTCCCCCTCTTCAGTATAAGCAGTTAGAATTGATGTGTCATTTGCCGAGGTACCAAATTTTTTCAAGGCCTCTGAAGTATTGTTATTTGGGGAAAGATTGAAAATAATTTCAGTAGATAGAGTTCTTGTCTTCATTTTTCCCAGTTTGTAGAGGTGAACTGCTTTGTTTGCTGCCACAAGTATCTGAAATGGATCGACAGTCACTGTAGGGTTTATTAACGAGCCATCAATGTCGCCTTCCATGGCCTTTATTCTCAAGCATTTTTTACATCATTAAATAACAGAAGGGTCACCCTGTGTTTGGGAAATAGGTCCAGCTGATGTGTTAACTGCATTTCATAGATAAGCAGGATTCAGCGGGCCCAGAACCCCAGGACTAGCTCCCTATTCTGCAGGCTACTTTGTCACAACTTTGGTGAGTCAATAGGCTTATCAGGATGATGTATCGCTGCTATGCTGTCAGCCCTCAAAGGGAGAGACTGAGCTGATTATTGCCAGGCTGCATCCCAGGGCCAGGCCTCGGAAGGTGTTGGATAAATGAAGGCGTCAAGAATCACAGGCATCACCTGGAAAATCACGGTCATGGGTGCTGGGGTTGAGTCTCCTATTCCCGCTCAGCCCAGCCTGGCCTGGCCCCTCTTTTGATTTTCTTTCTTTTTTTTTTTTTTGCGGTACGCAGGCTTCTCACCATTGCGGCCCCTCCCGCCGCGGAGCACGGGCTCCGGACGTGCAGGCCCAGCGGCCATGGCTCATGGGCCCAGCCGCTCCGCGGCATGCGGGATCTTGCCGGACCTGGGCACGAACCCGCGTCCCCTGCATCGGCAGGCGGACTCTCAACCACTGTGCCACCAGGGAGGCCCCTGATTTTCTTAATAACATTTTCTTTTCTCAGCTCACTTAATTGTAAGAATACAGTACGTAAGAATACAGTATATATAATACATGTAACCTGCACAGTATGTGTTAATCTACTCTTTATGTTATCGGTAGACTTCTGGTCAACAGTAGGCTGTTGATAGTTAAGTTTTTGTGGAGTCAAAAGTTATACTCAGATTTAAGACTACACCAGGGAGTTAGTGCCCCTAGCCCCTTGCTCAAGGGTCAACTGTAGTTTATTCTTTTGGAGGTAGTTGAGTTCATATGAGATTTAATCCACTGGCCAATTATTACAGGCTTCTACTTTCCAGACTATACTTAATAAGTGCACAGTTGGCTTTTGAATTTTTCCCCTTTCTGATTCAGACCAGTAAGCTGTTGAAGCAGGAGATGGGAGGACAGCATGTTTGGAATTTACGTATGGAATTCATGTATGGAATATAAAATATAATTTTAATTAACACTAAAAATGAAGGTTACTTATATTTTTCTACCAGAGAAATTAAAAGTGCTTGAGGGAAGGCACACTAGTGGTAAACCTAGTTGATGGATGAGTTGTGTCAAACGCTTGATAGAATTTTTTGTAGGGGGTCATAGAAATTTTTTTGATGACTGCAGTAAAGAGAATTTGGAATTACAGAAATATTGTAAAGGCTTATTTTCAGTAGTTAATGAGGCTGATTGAGTTTAAAGATTATATGGGAAAATGTATTTTTTTTAAATTACGAAGAATTACAGTGATGTTGTGGTTTTAGACCAGTAAAAGTTGTGTTTAAAGTGGTGCTTTCGTGTTATTTGTTTTGTTTTGAATGCAGAACACCGTTATGGCCACCCAGGTAATGGGGCAGTCTTCCGGAGGAGGAGGTCTGTTCACCGGCAGTGGCACCATGGGCATGGCCTTGCCTAACGACATGTATGACTTGCCTGATCTCTCCAGAGCTGAACTGGCTGCGCCTCAGCTCATCATGTTGGCAAATGTGGCCTTAACTGGGGAAGTAAACGGCGGCTGCTGTGATTACCTGGTTGGCGAAGAAAGACAGATGGCAGAATTGATGCCTGTTGGGGAGAACAACTTTTCAGATAGTGACGGAGAAGGACTTGAGGAGTCTCCTGAGGTAAAAGGCGAGCCCAGTGGGCTGGAAAACATGGAACTGGAGAGTTTGGAACTCAGTGTTGTGCAACCGCGGCCTGTGTTTGAGGTGTCAGCTGCCTCAGAACCGTACAGCGCAAATAAAGATCTTCCTCGGGAAACACCTGTAGCAGAGGACAAATGCAAGAACTTGAAGACCAAGCCCTTTCGCTGTAAACCATGCCAGTATGAAGCAGAATCTGAAGAACAGTTTGTGCATCACATCCGAGTTCATAGTGCCAAGAAATTTTTTGTGGAGGAAAGTGCAGAGAAGCAAGCCAAAGCCAGGGAATGTGGCTCTTCCACCGGGGAAGAGGGAGATTTCTCCAAGGGCCCCATTCGCTGTGACCGCTGCGGCTACAATACCAATCGCTATGATCACTATACTGCTCACCTGAAACACCACACCCGAGCCGGGGACAATGAGCGAGTCTACAAGTGCATCATTTGCACGTACACCACAGTAAGCGAATATCACTGGAGGAAACACTTGAGAAACCATTTTCCAAGGAAAGTATACACATGTGGAAAATGCAACTATTTTTCAGACAGAAAAAACAATTATGTTCAGCATGTTCGAACTCATACAGGTAAGAGGACCTTTCTTGTTTATAAGTGTATGCTACCCCCCAAATAAAACACTTTAAAAATGAAAAATTTCAGGGCTTCCCTGATGTCGCAGTGGTTGAGAGTCCGTCTGCCGATGCAGGGGTCACAGGTTCATGCCCCGGTCCGGGAAGATCCCACATGCTGTGGAGCGGCTGGGCCCGTGAGCCATGGCCGCTGAGCCTTCGTGTCCTGTGCTCCGCAACGGGAGAGGCCA